GGGGGGGGGGGGGGGGGGTTGCCTTCCATATGCAAATCATGTTCCATCTCTTCTTCTTGCACTTCACTGTTTTTTCATACACGAGTCACAAATTAATGACTTATTAGGGTCACCTACTTCACATACTTATGGATACTTCGGAAAGCCACCTTCTTAGAGCATTCAATCCAACAACAATTGGTAATAAGTGGAGATGCGCTTTATACATATAAACCAAATTTAAATGATCCTAGTCATTTGATGTGAGATCTAGATTCTCTTACACCTTCCCTAGCATGGGATTCAGGCTCACACATGGGACTAATAGACATATATGCCTATAAAAAAATTCAAATAGGTAAGAGATTTGGTCTACTGACCATTTCAAATCTTACTCTGATATTGTGTTAGAGCATCTAACTTAAAATTAATTGCTTATGGGGGTTGTAGAGCCTCAACTACAAACTAAACTTAAGCGATTCTAATTATTCAATATAAAATACAAACTTTTTTTTATACCCTCACCTAAACAAAATAAACAGAATAAACTATGGGAGGAGAAGTAGTTTGATTGAAACAGAAGAAACTAGTTTTGGTTTAACGTGTTTTCGCAAGAAAAGGAAAAAAGAGAGACTTATTAGTTCAACAAGGATGAGGCAATAGAAATTCTTAGGGACATTTCAGTGTTTGAGTCTAATCTTTAGTAATTTAGGGTTTCATGTTTAATAACTTTCCACGTNGACTTATTAGTTCAACAAGGATGAGGCAATAGAAATTCTTAGGGACATTTCGGTGTTTGAGTCTAATCTTTAGTAATTTAGGGTTTCATGTTTAATAACTTTCCACGTCTCTTAAGAATTAACCACTTTCGTCCCTTTAAGACCATGTTTTAATTCAGTTTAAGTCATAGTGACTAATTGTTGAGTTCGAAAAAGTAGTTAGTGTAAGTCTAGATACCGTGTAACAAAAAAAAAATTGAGGCAATAGGGAGGAATCCTCACATAATTCTTGTAATTTTAAATGAAAAAATTATACTTTGACTTCTGAACCGTTATATTGTTTTACCATCAATTATCACATTTTCTCAAGTGGTTTTCGGTAACAATGTGAGGAATTCAATAACCAATAGGACATAGTGAGTTCAGAGGTAATAATGGGATTATTGTTTTAGTAAATGATACGGAGAAGAGCATTGACATTGATCCATAAGAAACTCATAAAACTCTTGAAATAACAGAAGCTAATTTGAAAAAAGTTGAAGAAAAGCGTAAAACAATTGAGACAAATCTAGCTTCCCGACGAGCTAGGAAAGAGGCCATCAATGCAATTTTGTAATTAATTGGTGCATNAATGGGATTATTGTTTTAGTAAATGATACGGAGAAGAGCATTGACATTGATCTATAAGAAACTCAGTAAACTCTTGAAATAGCGGAAGCTAATTTGAAAAAATTTGAAGAAAAGCGTAAAACAATTGAGACAAATCTAGCTTCCCGACGAGCTAGGAAAGAGGCCATCAATGCAATTTTGTAATTAATTGGTGCATCCAAATAAAATAATCAAAATAAATTCTGACAAAATAAAAAATTGAGGCAATAGAGAGGAATCCTCACCTAGTTCTTGTAATTTTTTTTTTATTTTAAATTAAAAAATTACGTTTTGACTCCTTGACCGTTATATTGTTTTACCATCAATAATCACATTTTTTTCAAGTGTTTCGGTAACAATGTGGGGAATTCAATAACCAATAGGACATAGTGAGATCAGAGCTATAGATGAGATGTCAAAGTGTAATTTTTTCATTTAATCTGGTCGAACCCTAGCCATGTCCTTCGGCCGAAACAGTTGGTTGACTAGCAGCACACCGCGAGTATTTACTTGTCGTCGGCGAGAGACAGTTTGGCTTTGTACTCCGACCGTCTCTGTATTCGTCCGATTCTTTACTTCCATTCAGAACTCCCACTTTGGTGGTATCGATTCCTAGCTTCTTCGATTTTCATTTGGGGGTTATCGTGGTAAGAGATAGATAGAGAGAGAGAGAGAGAGAGAGAGAGAGAGGGAGGGAGGGAGTAGAGAATGGGAGANGGGATAGATAGAGAGAGAGAGAGAGAGAGAGAGAGAGAGAGAGAGGGAGGGAGGGAGTAGAGAATGGGAGATGTGTGGACATGGCTGGCGTTCTTCTTCGTTCTCGTAGCTCTTCTTATCGTTGTTCTTTACCAGGTCAATCCCCTAAAACCCTAATAGCTTGTATAATTTTCTCTGATTGATTTATTTCTCTTTCTCTTTATTTCTCTTACATTTCAATCATTTGACGGGTATATAAAACATTGCCATGATTTATGATGAGCCTAGTTCTGATAGCAAATGGGGAGTGCTTGGCTTGGTGAGCCAGTAAGGGTCTGTAAACTTACCATTTTACCTACCATTTTCTGGATATCTACCCATATTCTCTCCTAATTCATAAGCTAGGTAATCCATTATATAGACCCTTAATTATTATAATTATGCAAAGGGATAAGGGGTTGTGGATCATTTTAATTAGGGGGTAAGAATAATGCCTCTTTGAAACTTGCTACCTCAGTGTTATCATGGCTACCAAGTGACTTTATTTCGAGAAATTCAATGAACTTGTATTTCCCTAATCATGTTTGGATTTATCTAGCCATGATTGTCTAGAGTCAGAGTGCTACTTTATGTAAAGCCTAGGTACAAAGCAATGACCTGAGTCCTTGCTTATTCAGTTGTACTTGATCATCAACCTTCATAGTATATTGAAAATTACATTGCAAAATGCCTGAATTCTCAAATGGTGGAGCTCTAAATATAAAACAAAATTCAGGTGGAAAAGTTTGAGAGGTTTGGCTGTGGGCTGTTGAATCAGAGCTTTGAAATTTGAATTGTTTTGGGTTACCAGTGGCAATAATTCACTTCTGAAAACAAAATGGTGACAAAAAGTATTTTAATATTAAAGCATCATTTTACGTGAGGAAACATGCGAAAACCTTGGTTCTTTGTAGTCCATGTTGCAAAACGAGATGAAGGTCCTTGGATCTTGTCTGGAGAGGAATCTCTCACACATACAGTGGGAATTATGTGTTGGTTGCTGATAGAATCATTTCCAAAGTTTCTCAATTTTCCCGCACCTCAGGTAAAGAACTGATTTGTAGATTAAGAAAGAGGTCTCATGACTAATGCATATGTTTTCTTAATCTTTTGGGCGTCTTTCTAACCTCCACCTTCTCCTCCCTTTGAGAAATGTATTTCAGTATGAACTAGGTGAGATTCATGAGAGAAATGGCTTGAAATCTCTTTTGAATTTGAGAGGTCCATTGAATATTAGATTTGTAGTATCCAATCACGTGCAAGAATAGGACTGGGTTACGAGTCCATGTCACAAAATGTGGTTGTTGCATTGACTGACCAAATACTACTCTTGAGCTTAGTCACATAATTCGCCAGCCACCATTCATGATCCATCGCTCGGAGCATGAATTTGCATATTAAGAGCAAAATCAACATATCACATTCTCATTCCACAAAATTCGCGAATTCAAAGAATAAATTTGCTAATTATATATTTAAACTCAAGCCCAAGTCAAAAACCCAAGGGTTTACACTTGGCTGGCCCAAATATTAATAAGGCTACCTCCGCTTTCCAGCTAAGTAGCCTCACATGCAGCAGCTGAAGAACAGGAAGCCATGACATCTTACGGGCATGAGTTGCCACCGGCTTCTCATGTCTATTCAATGTGGGATGTTGTCCGAGGCACAAAAATGCTTCGAAAGATATGTGTTGTTGCCAACTTTTTGTTTAACAATTCACTCTATTATTTCCAAACCAAATTAATAGTTAAACAAATTTAAATGATTTATTATATAATTGTATATAAAATTTATTTTTTAATTATATTTTTGATAAATTTTATACATATTAATNTATTATTTCCAAACCAAATTAATAGTTAAACAAATTTAAATGATTTATTATATATTTGTATATAAAATTTATTTTTTAATTATATTTTTGATAAATTTTATACATATTAATATGTATGTATATATATAGTATGATGCTCTCAATGCATTCCCATTCTAAGATATTGCGTTCCCACCCTAAGATATTTTTGAATTTTTTCGCTTTTGCGCTTCCGCTTCCGTCCCTGCCCCCAATCCTGCTCTATGTGACTTAGCACCTGAGTATGATTGCTGGCCCAATTGGGTATAATGGGTTAACTTTATGATGTTTGGCTTAGTTTACATTGGGGATCATCATTTCATTAATTAATTAAGATAATTTTGAATGATCTAGCCATTCAATCTGTTGTCTCCCAATTAGAGTCTATTTGGTGGATGTATATATGGCTTTCTTTGGATTTTTTCTGATTTCTTGGCAGTATAAACTCAATGCAGGAATTCAGTTACCCCATGTGTTGTCATTTTTATTGGCAATGATCAAGTATGGTAGATGAGAGAGAATGGAGAAACTTATATCATATAACCATGCTTGGTTCAGGTAGAATATAGTAAACTTTGCTTCCTAGAACTTAAACATCCCTATAGTTGGGGATACCAAATGGTTCAATTTCTAAAGCAGCTAACAAAGAGCATGTATTGAAATTTGGGAGTTACCTTTTGACTTAAGTAGGTTTAGAATATGGAATCTCACATTTGATAAATTTGTTGCAGCTCATGTGCTTAACGGATCTTGAGTTTGATTATGTCAACCCTTATGATTCTGCATCTCGGATAAACAGAGTGGTTTTGCCAGAATTTATCATGCAAGGAGTTTTATGCATCCTGTGTCTTGTAACGGGGCATTGGTTTATGTCACTGCTGAGTGTTCCATACCTGTACTACAATGCAAGATTGTAAGTTCTCTCAGCCCCCTGGCCCCTCACCTTAAATTAGGGTGACTGAGGTCTACCCAATTTTAGAGGTGCAGGCAAATGCACATGCACGCGCATACATTACACATTCTTTCTATAGCATGTGGGCTCCTATATTTGTGTTAGCTTCACATGTTCAGCCAAGGGTTGACTTATTATTTTTGCCTGCGCAAATTAGTGAGTGCTTCTGTGGCATACTTCTACGCCATCATTTGGTGATATATATTCTGTGCAAGAGATGCTTGCCTTCATCCATCTCTGTGGAGAGGAAAGCTGGCACTCAGCAGAGCTTCTCCTGCTTTGAAAGGCGACAGAGCTACATCTCAAAGATTCCCACTTTTTGGAAATCCAAGTTGTGGAGCTTGACCTCTTACAAAATTCCTTTCCCACGATTCTTTGTTGCATTGGAACATGCAGATGTAAGGGTTTGATTAGAGATGAACCCTGTTTAATGGAGATTAGCTAATAACCTGTATATAAGGGTGGGATGTTTTTAGTTTTGAACTTTTTTTAACCTTTCCAGGACATATTATGGTTTAGATCTCCGTTTGAAAAATGAATAAAAAAATAGCATATGGTGAGGAGCAGGTTACTGGGTTATAAAGCTCATCAATTTTATTTCATTGCATAGCTGTTCTATGATTTAGATCCAAAAGAACTTATGTACTAACTTGTGGTTAAGTTAAACGGACACATCATTCTTTCATCTCATGAATGTGTGTTAAGTTCGTTATTGTCTGTAAGTAATGGATTCACTGTAAATGACCCTCTTATTCTGACTGATCTTTTTCATGGGATGAGATACATGCAAAGAAAGCACCTCACTGACGTAACTGAGATCTTCAACTTGCTCGATTGGGAAAAGAAGCAACGGCTTTTCAAGCTTGCCTATATCATTCTTCTCATTTGCATCTCCCTGTTTTGGTATTGTGACACATACAAGTTTTTATTTTACAATTAAAACTTTGCACTTTCGAAACTAATCAAGTTCTATATTTTTTTGGGAAAATTTGTTGCAGGGTGATCTTTAGTGCATTGGAAGACGATGAGGAAGCACTGTAGCTTCCATTCTCTTGCTTTATGGTGGAGATATCAAGCGCCATCAGCTTTGGCATGGTGTCAAGGATTGGCATTGAGGCACTGCATTGATACAAGATGGGGTCTTTTGTAATTGATATAATTTGAGGGGGTGCTAGGTTTAAGAAGTTCATTTCCTTGGCTTGAGCTTTGATTGCGATTCCAAATTCTCTTAGTGTTGTATGATCGAGCTATTTCATTGATCTCTTGTCCAGTTTAAGGTTTTGAGCATTTGTGATGATTATTTTTCCTCTTTTTTTTTTTTGTGGGAGGGGGGGGAAGACAGAAGGGTAACAAAACAGCTCTGCTGTCTTATTTTTTATGTTGAAGCCCCATTTGTTTTATGTACTGCAGAAGTTCAAGTTTTCACCTCCTTACTCACACTCTCTACTGCAGAAGTACGTAAGTTTCAGGCTTGAATCATAAGATATGTATCTCTCTCAGCCTCTGCGACAAACGACACTNTCTGCTGTCTTATTTTTTATGTTGAAGCCCCATTTGTTTTATGTACTGCAGAAGTGCAAGTTTTCACCTCCTTACTCACACTCTCTACTGCAGAAGTACGTAAGTTTCAGGCTTGAATCATAAGATATGTATCTCTCTCAGCCTCTGCGACAAACGACACTGCTGATATTTCACTAATCCTTCTGCCTTTGTGGTCCAGTTCATCTCCCTTTGCATTTCGAAGCACTACTTGACAGTGCAATGGTGGATTCTTCTATAGCCCAGCCAGGAAAGGAACTGTACTCTTCCCAAGCCTATTTTGGCTCAAAGGTAGAAGAGGGGCATAGCTTGGCTTGAAAGGATTCATGCCACTCTAAAAATTTTATACTATGTTAGTAATCATCGAAGGTAGTGTAAATATCATAATTAGTTTTTAAATTTTATTTTTTATTTGAAAAATAATTTAAAATTTTTTAATTGTCTTAATTTAATCTTTTAATTATTAATTTTATTTCAATTAAGTCTTTTTGTCATTAAAATAAATGACGGCACGTGTGACTTGTCTCCATTTGTTCTAACAGTTAAAATTGAAGAAAAAACTTAATTAACATAAAATTAATAATTGAGATATTAAATCAAGACAATTGAAATTTTTTGTTTTTCTTTTTTGGGTCTCTAGACATTGAAGGTCGTGTACTTAATATTCCTGATTTTATTAAAAAAAAAAACCGAATAACACATGTAATAATAAATTATGATTTTTATGTCAATTAAGCTCATGAAAACAATTTCACGTTAATTGAGCTCTCAAACTAACAGATTTGATGAAGCACGGTCAAAATCAGCAAACCCTAAAGCCTTCAGTTGATTCATCAAATGGATGAAGATGTTTCACAGAAGGGCCAGATTACTACAAATCGGGTAATTTGAGGGTTCAATTGACGCAAAATTGAGTTTAGGGGCTGAATTAACATAAAAATTATAGTTTAGGGGTCACGGGTGTAATTCCCTCAAAATATATATATCCATGATAGACACTCGTATCCTGTATCCAACGCTACCAGTACCCAACGGGGACGACGAGCAGTACCGCAACCGTACGAAAGCCATTCTGCCACCACAACGATCGCCGTCAATGTGAACTCCAGAGACCGTCGTCTTTGAGCATCAACAACAAACCCTATTGTCTTTCTCATATTTCGATCAAAGAAAGCTCTTCGTTCAGGTACTGCTCGTTATGATCTCACCGAATCTCATATTGGGGTTTCAATATTTTTGGATTCAGAAATGTGTTACGAGTTGAGTGGCGATTTGTCAGTCAAAAGTGATGACCTGATTTGGGATTTTGATTGGTCTATGTATTGTGCAAATTGGATATATTAGGGTTCGTGAAATCCTTGTGAAGTTATCCTTGATTACTGTATGTAATCTATGTATGCAGCGAAACAATCTTGTTTAGTATCTGATTGGAGTACTAAAACATTTGCATCATTCGGTATACATGTTCTATCGGGTCAAAAAGTGTAGTAGAAATGAAAATGTTAAGGTGGATGTGTGGAATACCTAAAAAAAATAGAATACGAAATAATCTTATTAAAGGAATAGTAGGAGTAGTTCTTATTAAGGATTAGTTGACAAAGAATTGATTAAGATGATTTAGTTCAACGGAGGTCGATAGAGATGCTAATTAGAAAAAGTGATAGAGCTAAGACCTAAATTAATATTGAATAAAATATATGAAAATATTTAATTGAAATAAGTGTATGGCGCATGACCGAAATGAATGACATAGACGGACTCATATAACCGATCTATATGATTGGTACATAAGACTTGATTTGGTTTGATATATATGTCCTGTCACTTAAGCTGCATTTGGTAACACAATGTTTGTGTTTTTTTTGTTTTTGTTTTCACTTTTCTCTGGAAAAAAAAACAAAAATGTGTTTGAAATGCGTTTTTATTTTTTTTTAGGCCAATTTGTTTTGTAAACAATCTCAAATATTGAAAACATGAAGACAAGTGCTTTCAAAAACAGGGAAAAGCGAAAACAGAGGGAGAAGGGTTAAATGAGGTCTTGCCATCGAANTGTGTTTGGAATGCGTTTTTATTTTTTTTTGGGCCAATTTGTTTTGTAAACAATCTCAAATATTGAAAACATGAAGACAAGTGCTTTCATAAACAGGGAAAAGCGAAAACAGAGGGAGAAGGGTTAAATGAGGTCTTGCCATCGAACTTCATTAGAAGCAATTTAAGGGAATATTTGCCCGACTATATAAACTATGAAAATTTCTCATTCTCATTCTCATCCTCTCATCTCTCTTGTTTTCTCTCTCTCGTCGTCTGAAGTGAAGCTACTGTTCTCTTGTCTCTCGCCTGTCAAAGCAAAGACCCTCTCCACTAGGAGTAGGTTGGTCTCCTCTGCGGCGCTACTCTGTTCTCTGGCGGTTCTCTCTAACTTCGAAAAGGTAATATTTATTTTTATTTTTGAAAATCTATAGACACACACACACACACACACATATATGTATACATATGCATAGATTTGACCTATTTATGTATATATCTAACCTTTTATGTATAGATTTATAAATATATGTATCCATGTATTTCAATTTTAGATTTAGGGTTTTTTTTCAATTTTTGATCTAGATNTATGTATAGATTTATAAATATTTGTATCCATGTATTTCAATTTTAGATTTAGGGTTTTTTTTCAATTTTTGATCTAGATATTTTTTATTTCAATTTCAGATCTAGGGTTTAGGATTTAGGGATTTTTTTCATCTCCATTTAAGATGTTTGTGTTCAGTGTTGTGTGTGCGTCTGTGTGGCCGGGTCATTGTGTGTGTGTTGTGTGTGCATCTTTGTGGCTGGGTCAGTGTGTGTGAGTGTGTGTTGTCTGTCTTGCTAATTCAGTGTGTGTGTGTTGTCTGTCTTGCTAGTTCAGTGTGTGTGTGTTTGTTGTGTGCATCTGTGTTGTGGCTGAGTGAGTGTTGTATTGTGCGTGTGTGTTTATGTGTGGGAAAATGTGATTTGTTGATGGCTTTCTACACTTAACAAATACATGCACATAAGGTGTTTGAATAAATGCCACCTTCAATTAGGGTCTATAGTTTTGTGGGTGGGTGGATCTATTGCATATAACAGGAGAATTAGGATTATTATGATAATTTCGGACATTGCATACAGTAGGCTTTTAGATTATTTGACTTATTTAGGATATTGCATACTAGACAGTAGACTGTTATGTGCACATTTTTAATATATTTTTATCTAGCATTTGAGGTAATTATTAGGGAGTTATTTTAGAAAGTGAGTTAGTAGTAGAGTATTTTGTGAGCAGTTTTCTAGGTGGTTACTAAGATAATGGAGTCATAGGTCAAATTAGTTATTAAGGTAGTTTTATTATCTTGTATTTAAAGATTTTCCTATCAAAGAAATAAATATGATGAATATTATATTGAACTGTTTTGTGAAGTTTTGGAGACAGATTCTTCCCGAATTGAATCATTGGAGGTTTCCACCCCCCTCGAAGCGGGTTTTCTTCCTCGATTTTATTTTTCGTTTATTTTCTAAATTCCTCAAAATTGTGCACGTAACAATTGATATCAGAGTCAAGGATGGAGAATCGAGTAGATCGACTTGAAGCGAAAGTTCACTCATTAATTATTAGGCAAAAGATGATAATGAAAAAGATGCATGAATTATTTCTTGCCATGAATTCTCGCTTTAATCAGTTAATGGCCGAACAAGGTCATTATCATGAGGAAGACGAATGGTCGACCCATCACAATGAAGGAGGTAAACATAAAGGCCACCCATCTTGTGTTTCTGTTGGATCAGCTAACCCTCTAACTAGCACAATTTCAAAGCTAGATTTCTCATTATACTATGGCAACGAAGGTCCCACGGCCACATTGATTTGCCAAGCCAAGCAAAATACATCAATTGATCATCCATCAAGTAATCATAAAATAAAATGCTCTGCTGATGAGAAGTTGAAGAAGTGTTCCACTGGGACAAGGCTAAAGGTCAACTGCAAGAGAATCAAAGGTTCGCATTGCCTTTGGTGTACCTATGTAGAAGTTCCTCTTCTTGAAGGCATAACACAAAAGACTAAATTTTGGGAGTCGATGGACTCAAACTTGCAACCAACAGATTGCAAGGTATGCCTAGGAATTGTTTATGACCTTGCCTATTACAAGGACGAGCAATTAATGGAGTATGTTCACACTGCTCATATAAATCTAGCTTTCTGGATCATTAGCGTGGGTATTTTTGGAGTCTATGAAGCCAAATATCTCCTTGATTGTTACAAGGACAAGGAAGTGGGTTGGCCGCCTCCCAATGTACATGATAAATCAAACTTTGAGGATAAAGTTTATTGAAAAGGGAAATGGAATGTTATGTGCACATTTTTAATATATTTTTATGTAGCATTTGAGGTAATTATTAGGGAGTTCTTTTTGAAATTGAGTTAGTGGTAGAGTATTTTATGAGTAGTTTTCTAGGTGGTTACTACGATAATGGAGTCATAGGTCAAATTAGTTATTAAGGTAGTTTTATTATCTTGTATTTAAAGATCTTCCTATCAATGAAATAAATATGATGAATATTATATTGAACTGTTTTGTGAAGTTTTGGAGACAGATTCTTCTCGAATTGAACCATCGGAGGTTTCCACCCCCCTCGAAGCGGGTTTTCTTCCTCGATTCTATTTTTTGTTTATTTTTTAAATTCCTCAAAATTGTGCACGTAACATAGACACAAATTGATTTGTATTCATCTATTGGGCTGGAGGCTTTTCATTTGAGTTCATATGCATGTAGGCTTTTTCTATGCATTATTCAGTGAACATGTAAAAGAATGCTCAATTTGGTTATGTTAAATGCTTATATCATTCGTTATTCTATGAACTTATTGATTGTATTTCAGACATATGGTGTAAAGTAGACATTTTGGTTAGTTTTATGTTTTAATGTAACTAGTTGGGATTTGAGAGGGTGTTATAAGTTTGAATGTTTGGATGTATTTTGCATTTTTTATGGGTTGATGGATGTATTGATATAAAAATGTGAATGTGCTTTAGCATGAATTAATATAAAGTTAAATATATGCCATAAAATAAATTGGTTACCAAACATGTCTTCTGTTTTAGTTTTTAAATTTCTTAAAACAACAACTGCATCCAAACATGCTTCCTATTTCAACTTTTAACCACAGAACAAAATAAAAGCTAATTCTATTTTTTTTTTTAAAAACATGAANAAATTGCAAGGTATGCCTAGGAATTGTTTATGACCTTGCCTATTAGAAGGACGAGCAATTGATGGAGTATGTTCACACTGCTCATATAAATCTAGCTTTCTGGATCATTAGCGTGGGTATTTTTGGAGTCTATGAAGCCAAATATCTCCTTGATTGTTACAAGGACAAGGAAGTGGGTTGGCCGCCTCCCAATGTACATGATAAATCAAACTTTGAGGATAAAGTTTATTGAAAAGGGAAATGGAATGTTATGTGCACATTTTTAATATATTTTTATGTAGCATTTGAGGTAATTATTAGGGAGTTCTTTTTGAAATTGAGTTAGTGGTAGAGTATTTTATGAGTTGTTTTCTAGGTGGTTACTACGATAATGGAGTCATAGGTCAAATTAGTTATTAAGGTAGTTTTATTATCTTGTATTTAAAGATCTTCCTATCAATGAAATAAATATGATGAATATTATATTGAACTTTCTTGTGAAGTTTTGGAGACAGGTTCTTCTCGAATTGAACCATTGGAGGTTTTCGCCCCCCTCGAAGCGGGTTTTCTTCCTCGATTCTATTTTTTGTTTATTTTTTAAATTCCTCAAAATTGTGCACGTAACATAGACACAAATTGATTTGTATTCATCTATTGGGCTGGAGGCTTTTCATTTGAGTTCGTATGCATGTAGGCTTTTTCTATGCATTATTCAGTGAACATGTAAAAGAATGCTCAATTTGGTTATGTTAAATGCTTATATCATTCGTTATTCTATGAACTTATTGATTGTATTTCAGACATATGGTGTAAAGTAGACATTTTGGTTAGTTTTATGTTTTAATGTAACTAGTTGGGATTTGAGAGGGTGTTATAAGTTTGAATGTTTGGATGTATTTTGCATTTTTTATGGGTTGATGGATGTATTGATATAAAAATGTGAATGTGCTTTAGCATGAATTAATATAAAGTTAAATATATGCCATAAAATAAATTGGTTACCAAACATGTCTTCTGTTTTAGTTTTTAAATTTCTTAAAACAACAACTGCATCCAAACATGCTTCCTATTTCAACTTTTAACCACAGAACAAAATAAAAGCTAATTCTATTTTTTTTTTTAAAAACATGAAAACGAAAACATTACCAAACGCAACCTTAGTTTTTAATGATCTTCTTAGAGGTGTTCTTTGATTTGTTATAGTGCAATTAGAGATTATTCTTGCATAGTGTTGTTTTTCAAACCCGGTAAAGCTGTAGTTTTAGTATTATAAGTTGATGGAGCTTGCCATTTTACACTTCAATAAGATTCAGGTTATGTGGATGGTATGAGTAGCACTTAAAACAAGATTATTCTATGCAGTTTGGCCACTGATAGCATAAAATGGATACATAACTAACATTTGACATTATTAGCTGCCTTTGTGTTTGAACTCACAACTGTGCTCTTTATCCTTACACTGTACAATGAACTGGATGTTATCTGTAGCATTTAATACAGAAATAGTGAGTCTATGATGTAAGCGATTTATAACATTTGAGTTTAGCTAGTTGTGTGCTGAAATTAGGAGTTATGTGCAGTGAAGTGCTTTTAATCTGGTTGACAAATGGTTAATAGGATACTGTTGCAAAAACAGTTCGCTGTTTTCACTTTGTTCCATTGTTTTGCTATGATGATTTTTTAAGGTGTTATATGCCCATGCCCTTATGGTGAATAGTTATGATTATCTTATCCACTGCCATTGTGTTGTGCTGCAGCTCAAGCTTCTACAATTATTGCTAAATCATGGTAAACGTCATCAAAGGATTATTAATTTCATGGTAAAATACTGTTTCTGACCTAAAGCTTTACCTTACACTCACTTCTCATCTCGTGTGTGCTTCTCTCTGTTTAGTGGTTCACTACTTGGTTTTTTATGGGCTGGGGGTTGGCCTGGTGTTGCTCACACCAGTGCTGTGAATACTTGATTTAAGAATTGTTTAGAGGCAACGGAGACCCCACCAACTTCATGGTCCTTCCCACCTTTTTTTGATGAACTTAATATCTGTTCATAGCTGCAAGACATAGTTAGGGGTTTGAAGAAATGCAACCATGTCAAGTCATGGATTTTTACAATTTGTATTATCTGTAATGGTTGACCTGCGGGTTTGTCTTTTGATGTGATTTGAAGTAGAGCAGCTGTTAAAATTGTTGAGCATGGATTTTAGCAACTGGTATGATTTGGTTTACTAGCATTGCATTAATATCTTTTTGATGTGATTTGAAGAGCATGCATTGCTTATCAAGGGAACAATTTAAAGGTCCTTACGAGTAGTCCATGCTTTTCACAATGCCACTGGCATCTTTTGCTTGCATTCTTCCCTGGTCTTTCTTACTCTTACCATCTTCTGGTCTTACTCTGACAGTGACATACCCATGGCGCAATTCATCATCAACTTGAATGCTTCATTGCCCCAATCCCAGAAGTTCATAATATATGTCTTGGATAGTACTCATATATTTGTAAGATCCGATGTTGCTGGAACGATACGAGAAGCCATTAAGGAGTTCCGAGATCAGAATACCTATGAGAAGCCCGCTTGATTCTGATCATTGACAGAATCAAGTTTGGTTTTACCTTTCTTTCGTTCCCAGTTTATGATTGCTACGTTTGTAGTTATAAAAGTCATGGACTTTTACCTGAGACATTTGCTGCTTGTTAGTACGGATCACTAATATATTCTTGAACAAGACATCCAAGAAATTTGTGTGATTTTGTTGTCATTTTCATTGAGAAATACGGCTAAAAGAAGAAGAATCCATTGACCTACCCCATTATCTCCACCCGTTATGAACTACGAGACTACTCCAAGGACGCCTGAAAGGCACTAGTTAGCTGCTCTCTCTTTGGAAGATCTATTTTAGCATTCATTGTTAAAGTATTACTTCATACTCGAAAAGGAAATGGTTGAATAATTTTCTTTAACTATGTTTCCCTTTTTTCAGACATACAAGTGAATTGTTATTTTCCACGATCACTCTTCTTCCTTCCCTTCTTAAAGAAAAATTATTCAAACATTTCCTTTTTGAGTGAATTTTTCTCTTTGTTTTGATTCTGCCCCTACTTTAATTAAAACTAACTCCTACTCCTCCTTCATGGTCGGGGGTAAAGCCAGGAATGTTGTTCAGAGTGGGCACTTTAATTATGCACTCTAATTTTTTTCTTTCTAACCAATCACACTATATAACATATGGGAGTGAGTGATACAGAGAAAGAAAAAGAAAGAAAGATAAGATAAGTTTTAGTTAAGTAGCCCAAACGTTTTGTTTTTTAATAATGGTGGGCCAAAAGTTTTATTTTTAATGTCGGGCTAAAAATTTTGTTTTTAATGTTGGGCTAAAAGTTTTGTTTTTTTAATAGGTTTGAGTGGATTGTGATAGGTCAAATATTTGATTTTTTTTAATAAGTTTGGATAGATAAGAGTGAGTTTAATTTTTTTTGTTTTAAATAGACTTAATTTTTTAATTATTTTAAATAAATATATAATATATATATCTAACTAATAAAAAAAAAAAATTAGGGGGGCACGTGCCCACTCTAGCCCTACCTCCCTCTGCCTATGTTCATGGTTGTTGTCATTGGTCCTTTGTTCTTAATGGTCATTGTATAATGAGAAAGCTAACATTCACCTTTAGACGAGAATGTCTCCCAATCAAGCAGTAAGCAGGAATTCAAATTGAAATTGCATTTGATTTCTTATCAAATGAAACTGTGAGTTATTTAAGTGAATTATTATTTTCCAAGATCACTCTTCTCACTTACCTTCTTAAGAAAAGGAATTTATGGGGAAAAAAAAGGCATCCATTCCACAGATAAAGACACCGGGGCATAAAATTTAAAGGAAAATGTTAGGCTATAGATTTAGTTGTCATTATTAAAATTCAAAAAAGGAATAGGAAAAGATGACCTATGATTTTTAATAAGATGGCACTGAGTGGGTCCTAACCTATCAAAATGATGAGGTTCGAAACCTACCTTCCCCTGCCTCTGCCTCTTCTAATTCTAGTGGTTTTATTATAAGTATAGGTTTTAAATGATTGTTTATTCGATCTGAGAATAACTAAAAAAATCCTAACAAAAAAAAAAGATAAAACAAAAAAAATACTTAAAAATATGGTTTAATTGTATTTTTTGTCTTCAAGTTTCACCTAATTTTCATCTGAGTCCAGTTTTTTTTTTGTCCATCAATTTCATCATTCAATTTGAAAAATGGTTTCAATTTAATTCAATCTATTACTTTCTTTAATAAACTTACTGCAAAAATATCACACGTCATCTTGGAAAAATGACATGTCTTTTTCATAAAAATATGAACTATCATATTTGATAAGTTGAATTGAAATTAATTTTTTGATATTTGATAATTTAGATGTCTCAAATTCAATTCTTTTTCATAACCCTAAGGGCTAACCACCGTTTTCTCTTTAAGACATGTTCTAACTCAGCTCAAATTACGGTGGTCAGTAATTGAATTCGAGGGGATAATGGACACAAACCTGAATACCTTGTAGCAAAAAAAAAGTTGAATTGAAATTATGTAGAAGGTTGGAGGGGGAAATTGATTAAAAAATTCAAGGGCCAAAATTAAAATTAGAGTGAACTTTGGGGGGTAAAAAAAAGGGATAATTATACCTAGACCCCCTGAGATTTATTACTTAATTAATCAGATGTCCTATTTGAAATATTATACACAGACCCCTAAAATTTGTATGCGAATAACACTTAGACCCTTGCTGAAAATATACCAATTAATAAATTACACTGAAATCCCTCTGAGGTTTGTAGGTAAATAATATTTAGACCAATTAAGTTTAAAATATTATACTTATACCAAAATACTCCAATTAAAGATAAAATATCAAATATTTTAAATTTTACAACCAAAATTCATATTTTATTGTATTATTTATTGAAATAACATGAAAAAATAAAATTTTAATTTTTTCTTAAAAAATAGTAATTAGTATATAGTTATACTACTATCTATTAGAATAAAATTAAAAAATCAAACAAGGGGTCTAAATTATTCATAATAGAACATAAATTTTACATTCAAAATTCATGTTCTATTATGTTATTTATTGAAATAAAATTAATTAAAAATCTAAATCTAATTTTTTTTAAAACAAATTATAGTTAGTATATAATTATACTAAAAAATTAAAGAAGGGGTCAAACTGTAATAGACACAATATATTTTAGCTTTAATTGGGTAGATTGGTATTTTAATTTGGTCATTTAAAAGACCAAATTAAATTCTAATAAACAATATAATTGTATACTAATTACAATTTTTAAGAAAAAGATTAAATTTTTATTTTATTTCAATAAATGATATAATAAAACATGAATTTTAATTATAAAATTTAAAATATTTGATATTTTGTCTTTGATGGAAGTATTTTTAGTTTAAGTATAACATTTTAAACTTCAGTATTCTAAATAATATATATTTACAAACTTCAGGAGGTCTGGTGTAATTTATTAATAGATATATTTACAGCAAGGGTCTAAGTATTATGCACATACAAATTTTAAGGGGTATGTATATAATATTTTAAATATTAAGAGTATGCTCGATTAATTGACAAACCTCGTGTTAATATAATTCTCCCAAAAAAACATAGTAGACATTGAAGGAATACTTGGAAATGCTAATTTGGTCGGGTGGGGGTCCGAGTACATTGTTAATCGGGTTGGAGTAGGCTTCGGACTCTGAGCTCTCCAACCATCTGGACAATCTCTTCATTGTTCCGAAACCACTCTCTCTCTCTCTCTCTCTCTCTCTCTCTCAACACACACGCACACGCACAAGCACAAGCACAATGGCAGCCTCTCTTCCTACCACCAGTCCGTCGTCATATCTACACTCCAGAACTGGAGTTCCTCGGCCTTCCCTCAGGTTTCCTGTCTCTCTCCCTCTCTCTCTCTCTCTCTCAACGCGCACAAACACACGCACACACTCTGTCTCTCTTTATATTTAACGGTACCCTGTGGGATCTGAAAAATGACTTCTGTGATATACTCTTTTCTTTGGCAGCTGTGGAAGCAAGGTTTTTGTAGGGTTAAGGCTTCAATCTCCAAGTCTCTGCTCTTATCCCATTATTTTGTTTACTTTTCTGTCTTAGTTAATTTGCTTTAAATTGTTAAACTTAACGTATAGATCTTCTTTCAGATTCTTGGGGAAGTGCAAAACCCAACCTGAATGTTGAATTTTACAATAAAGTACATAGGAGTATCGAATCCAGGTATTATTTGTCTTTCTTTTATATGGGTATTCATCTTCGCACCCAAATAGTGTAGTTTATTGATGTTTAAATCCGCAGTAGTGTAATATTTTTGTGTTAGTCCTGAGTAGATAGTTAGGTATCACCAGATGAATGATATAGTGTTTAAAATGATTTGACTTGAATTTGAGTATTTTTCATAGAGACAAATGTATAATTTAGAGTGTAGATATTTTGTTGTTGCAAAAAAAAAAAAGAAAAAGAAAATAGAATCTTGGATTGGCACATTTTTACCGGTGAATCATGGGTGTGTTTCTAATGAAGATAGAGCATGTTTACCAGTTTCTTTGCTGCCCCCCACCTCCCTTTTTTGCACTTGTTGTTGTGTTTTTTGTTGAGGGGCGGGGGAAGAGTTTCACTGAAGCAGCTTGCTTGTATAAGGTTGTGTGGCATGAAGCAGATTTTTTAGGCTGGTGAGGCAATAAATTTGACCATATGTGTGTAAATGTTTAATATGTTGCATTATAGTGCTACATAGGCATAGTATTCAAGACATAATAAGCACTTTTTAATCTCTCTATCTTCCATGTTCTTTCATTTCCTTTTTTAAGATTTTGGGGCAAGCGGACAGTGTAAAATTTTCTATTTTATTGACTATTTTTTTTTTTGAAATATCCTGTTTCTTGGCAATTTCATTAGTTTATTTTGCCGTGCCGTCTTTTCTTATATTTATAATTCTTTGGTACTCGATTGATTATGTCTGAGTATTGGTGTCTTACAATTGTTCATCTACCGTGCATTTGCTCTAGTGCGCTTTATGAATTTTCTTGATAATTTCACTCAACCTTGAGCCTTTAAAGATGTGCATTTTCATGGGACAAAAGTAGAAAACTGTTATGTCTAGGTTCGCTCGCATCATATATAATATACACATGGCGATTTAAGCCTTGAAATAGTTGGCATGTCATTTTGCTTTTATGAATCTGCTAATTAAACAATATTGTCATTTGGTAGTCTTTTGTTTTGATATTGTATTGCCACGAAAATCTAGTAGTTGTATATATTTGATTCTTTCCATATTGATTCATTGTTCCATTTCCAGGACTTGTGATGGTAAAGCAACACGAGCCCGAGTTGCAATGATGCCTATAGGGACGCCAAGAGTGCCCTATAGAAATCCTACTGAAGGAACCTGGCAATGGGTTGATATATGGAATGCCCTTGTAAGTCTCAAAGGCTATTATTCTTATAAGCGAGTGTATTAGCTATTTTATGACCTCGAAATAACAATTGGTGTATTCAGGGCGCACACCATGGGTTTAGTACTCTCATCTCCATTGCCAACTTGGAGTTCCATGGATCACTGTCTTCATTAGATAACTTTATCCGACCAACTTTGACCTTCATCTGATCTGAAATAGTAGTTCTTTGAGATTGAAGGACCTAAAAACAAAGCAGATAATTAACTAACATGAAGAAAAGAAACTTTGAAAATTGAAACAAAAGATCAACTAAATTTCATACACAAGATTACAAAATCAATAGAGAGGGTGAATTGATGTTTTGTGTGAGCTATACAGAACGGCATAGTCTATCTTCCCTTCATGTGAGTTGATGTCTACATATGGGTGACTTGGATAATTTTGCTTTTGAATAGTTTCCTACCTGATTTACATTTTGTTTTTCCTAGTTGTTTTTGATGATTTCTTGGTTGGCAGTATCGGGAACGTGTTATCTTCATTGGGCAAAATATAGATGAAGAATTTAGCAACCAAATACTGGCAACAATGTTGTACCTTGATAGTATCGAATCTTCCAGACGGCTGTATATGTACATCAATGGTCCCGGTGGAGATGTGAGCTTCTCATTATTCAAGTCTTAATGATTGGCTATCTACTTTGTAATGTGTTGTGTATCTTGATTTGTCTTGGCTAAACTTACACCTCTTTTGCAGCTTACTCCAAGCATGGCTATTTATGATACAATGCAAAGCTTGAAAAGTCCTGTTTGCACCCACTGTGTGGGATATGCTTATAATTTGGCAGGGTTTCTTCTTGCTGCTGGTGAAAAGGTAATATAGATATACAATATAACTCACATAGCCTACAGCATGAGTGGACGATATTCCATTTTTGGCACTTGCACAAGCAATGATAATCAAAGATGGACACCGACTTCTCCTGCTTTCTGTGCAGCTTATTATTTTTGCATTCATAGTCATGAGATAGATTGACTGGTGAGATTATTGAGTTAGGACATTCTTCAACAGGAAAAGTCTGTGAGTTAGAATGTCTTCCTTGGGTTTCTTTTCTCTAACGATTTTCACATTGTGAAGGGTAATCGCTTTGCAATGCCTCTTTCAAGAATTGCATTACAATCTCCAGCTGGGTCTGCTCGTGGTCAGGTTTGTGTATATATCATCTCTTTGGAAAAGCTTGTCAAATATCATACATAAGTTTCCTCCATTGGGGGTTTTCTTTCTTTTGCACAGCCTCATGCATTCACAAAATTCTTTTCAGGCTGATGATATTCGTAATGAAGCAGATGAGCTTCTCAGAATCAGAGATTACCTTTTCAGAGAGTTGGCTCAGAAGACGGGCCAGCCCGAGGATAAGGTATTGCTCAATTTTAATGTCACGCTGATTGATTACTTTGATAAGTTGATTTGGCATGTTTTTACTTAAGCATGACAAAAACAACTGTAAACAGCTTAAGCTTTTTCTGGTTAGACTATGGCCAAAATCTAAAATATGTAGGAACGAGAAAGTATGCACTAACCTTCATCCACGTTTTTCTTTCTTCTATGGTAAAATAATTATCTGTTTTTGTCCGGATGCTTCAGTTATTTGTAACTTCCAAATACGTGTATGACCGAAGTGTAAATATATTTTACTATAAACATTCAGATTCACAAGGACTTAAGCCGGATGAAGCGCTTCAATGCTCAGGAAGCTCTCGAATATGGGCTTATTGATCGTGTAGTTAGGCCACCCCGTATCAAGGCAGATGCACCACGTAAAGATGCTGGAACTGGTCTAGGTTAGTTTTTGTGTTGCTTGTACTTCAAATTGGCTGATAGCCGTTAGACAGTTCAGAATGTGGCGAAGCTATTTGTTTACTTACATAATGAGCTATTCTGTCAGAAATTGATGCATAAAATAATATTTGGTGATCTAAAATAATTATGATACACGGAGGGCTCGAGGAAAAAGTTTATTATGTCAAAAGGAGGATTCTTGTACCACTGCGAAGAGGTGGATGTGTACTATTATTTGGGGAAACAGTTTTGTGCATCGATTTCTGTTGTACATAATTGTTAGATCCAAGGGTNAGGTGGATGTGTACTATTATTTGGGGAAACAGTTTTGTGCATCGATTTCTGTTGTACATAATTGTTAGATCCAAGGGTTGTATGTATATCTACTGGCAGTGTGCTTGGATCTTTTGCCACATATTGCTAGGCTAGCCTTATTGTGGAGCATGTTTCACCACAAGTTTTTGAGGCCTTGACTGTCCCTTGTGTATCATAAAGAAAGGTTANGTTGTATGTATATCTACTGGCAGTGTGCTTGGATCTTTTGCCACATATTGCTAGGCTCGCCTTATTGTGGAGCATGTTTCACCGCAAGTTTTTGAGCCCTTGACTGTCCCTTGTGTATCATAAAGAAAGGTTACTGGAAATCGAAGCTCAGCTTACATAACATGGGGATATTGGACAGTTCTGCAGTCGCGAGTAATTCTCTTTCTTTACTCTATCCTCTTCATTTGGTTGTGGGTGAACTTTTTCCTTTTGGGGGTGAAGCTTAGATTTGTTGCAGATATTAGGGGAATGTTATTTTACCTTTCCTAGTCTTCACCATACAACTTTTGCCATTAAATTTCACANACTGGAAATCGAAGCTCAGCTTACATAACATGGGGATATTGGACAGTTCTGCAGTCGCGAGTAATTCTCTTTCTTTACTCTATCCTCTTCATTTGGTTGTGGGTGAACTTTTTCCTTTTGGGGGTGAAGCTTAGATTTGTTGTAGATATTAGGGAAATGTTATTTTACCTTTCCTAGTCTTCACCATACAACTTTTGCCATTAAATTTCACTACTTGAAGCTTAACTTGTATATGTATAATATTCATTGTTAACTAATGAAACGCGTTGTTGTCATTGTTCAGTTTGGTGGCAATACAACTTAACATATAAAGAACTCTATAGTGTAAAACTTGCCTCTTTTCATAAACAAGTTCATAGTACGCCACAGTGAAAGAGAAAGGGAGGGTTGGTTTCTCTGGAAAGTGGGAGTCAATCCATCCAAGCTATCAGATTAACCAGCCAATTTACTGTCTTAATGGTGGTTGATGAGCTTATGATGCTGACTGCATAGCTGACTTAGTACTAACTGTCATTATTGGGTTTCATTCCTTGCCGTTGAACCTTATTTTTTTTTTGGATTTTTGTCAGACATTTACTGTATGATACCTGCCAGAGAAAACGATGTCGTGGTATCTAATCAGGTGGTTTCTTATTATCTCCCAATGCTAAAAATGGCAACTGGCATAGAATATTGGCTGTGCATCTTGAAGTTGGGTATGGCTGGTCAAGTTTTCTAGCATATTGGCATCTTGCAATGAACCAGTACACTTGACAAGGGATATTCTCCTGTACTTGGTCGGCTCTGCTCCGGGAGACCCGAGCTGGGATGAGAACAAAACCCAGTTCGAATCAGGCAACTAGAGCCAGAGGGCCGACGTTTTGAATGATCAGCAAAACCTAATCGAGATATCATACAGGTGTGGTGATGATTCTCTTTTTTCTCGAGGAAGAATTGTCATAAATATGCGTCTTCTGAACTAATGGATGCGATGCAAATATAGGATATACAAATTATACCTACATTAATTAAACTCATTTTATCGGAAAACAAGACACAAACTTAATATTTATGAGTTTACATATTACTTTATTCGATCATTGAACTAACCCGTGCACAGGGTTACTGTACCAAAACTTTTAGGTGACAAGCTTTCATATCCTATGTTACCGCTATAAACAGCTAGATATTCCACCAATCACTAGAGATAAGTCCCTCTCCAAGTTTACGACCTTCACCTGACTACTAGTGCTGGTACTACTTTGAACCTGGGAAAGAGTATACAGTATACACCCATCAATCACTATTTATCCAACAACAAAGGGGAAGAACATGAATCACCTAGGCTTGATCTAGATTAGGATTATAAATAAATGTGTCATGACACATCTCCAATATCTATTGAATAGCCTCTCGTCAGACAAAGATGATGGCAGGCATTGTCACAAGATAAGGTCTTTATAATCTAGAGATTAAGGATTTGAGTCATGAAAATAATCTCTCTACTAACAGGAATAAAGCTACATATATCTGATTTTACAATGACACAAATCTAGTGCATTGATTATTCCTTTTTAGCATCTCGTCAAATAAAGAAGAAAAATGATGACCCATCATAAAAAGAAAGCCAACATAGTGAAGCTAGTGGCATATTAAAACCATAATGCTTCTCATTCAAGATGGAAGTTAAATTCAGGGGTGAATAACACAACAACAGTTGAAGAAGCTCATCTACTGCACTAACTAAACTAAAACAGAACCCGGCCGGAAAACAACATCCGCATACTAGGTTTACAGACAAACAAAGTGAAGTGAAGTGAGATACATCAATTGGAGTCTAGTCCAATGTGAGCAGTTACAAATCTTCATTGCAGAATAGGCCGTGGTCAAGGTCGTTGAAAACTATCCAGGCAGAGTTACATTAATGTCAGTTGGCTTTCTCGAGTCTGAGGGCAACGAAGACCAGTTTTCTACACGGAAGGAAGAGGGTGATGATAGGTTTGTTTTTGTGGCAGCTGTAGTGTGCTGTGCATGCCCACCATATGTCTCTTCAATCCCTGCGCTAGAAATCGGAATGGCAGCAGTAGGTGTGGCAGTCGTTATAGCCTCTGTTTTCTGTTTCTTGGTCTTCTGCTCATGATGGTTCCCCGTCAAAAAACTGCCTACAACAATCTGATGCATGGCAAGAATGGCAAAAGATTTATAACATTTCTTATCTGTTCATCTAAAAAAGAACCAATCACAATTGGGGCTACTTTTTATGCACACAATCTAACAGGAGGGCTTGGCAGGAGGCCAAAACATATTTCATATCTGCTCATAGCACCAAAAAGAACCACTCCATAGTTATTATCAACTATAATACATAGTTATTATCAACTATAATACACACAAACTACCTAGAGGGCTTTGAAAAAGATCAAAATATATCCCCCAGAATTGGCAAATTTGATCGCTGAATAACATTCATTCCTCCCCCAATTTTCCACACCTCATGAGGCCAAAAAAAAATTACATAAAGGAAAAGCGAATCCATACCTGCACAGGACTGGCCGCTACTAATAGACCAGCGACTCCACCCCCCACAACACGTCCATCTGGGCTTGCTAAAGAAACACTCATCCCACCAGATCTGTTCCTTATTCCTCCACTTTCTGATGGCATAAATGATCCGGTCAAGGAGAGTATCTCAAAACGACCCTACAAGAACAACAGTGGGAAGAGTTTATATATATGTCACTGATCTATGAAAAATACAAAAGGAATGAAAAACGACAACTAAGAACCATGCTATGCTGAAGGCATATATCAAAAAGCTATTANAAGAACAACAGTGGGAAGAGTTTATATATATGTCACTGATCTATGAAAAATACAAAAAGAATGAAAAACGACAACTAAGAACCATGCTATGCTGAAGGCATATATCAAAAAGCTATTTGGGAACCTTCAGAACTGGTTTGTGCCCAGGTCTCATCTCATTCAGTAATCTTGTTCTCAGGAGAACCAACAATGAGTTGATCTTCAGCAAACAGTTTAAATAAAGAGCCACATTGCTCTCTCTCTCTCTCTATCACATTCACATTCACATCACATGCATACGCAACACACATATATATATATATATATATNAGAACTGGTTTGTGCCCAGGTCTCATCTCATTCAGTAATCTTGTTCTCAGGAGAACCAACAATGAGTTGATCTTCAGCAAACAGTTTAAATAAAGAGCCACATTGCTCTCTCTCTCTCTCTCTATCACATTCACATCACATGCATACGCAACATATATATATATATATATATATATATATATATATATATAGAGAGAGAGAGAGAGAGAGAGAAGCCACAGATCTGGTGGGATGAAGCAAAATATGTGCATGTAAGGCTGTTCATTCAATTTGGTTAAAAAACCCAAAGAATTCATATATACACCACTAACAATTCTTGAGCCATTCTTCAGCATACTATAGTACCAGCAATTTGCAATCTACAATTTACAGTAAATAATCAAATTATTTTGATTGTTATTATTAATGTTAACATTATTATAAGTATTACTACTGCTGTAAATTTTGTGTTATTTAATGTGCAGAAAATAATACAGAATTAGATTGGAATATCATGTTTTAGATTTATGATAATAAGCACAATTAATCCAGAAGATTAAGCATTTGAAGAAAGAAATGATAGGTTGCACCACCTCATATGTCAATGTGCCCCCAGAAGAATCAGGTTGACGGAGTGTCACACTTGAAATTACGCCATTTGCAGAGAGAATGCATATTGTCCGCGGTCCTTGTTGAGAAAATGATATCACCTTCATTGTGACGTCCTAAGACAACCAAAATAGAATTACCAATTATGTAAATGTTGGGACATTCAAAAGTTGTTTTGCTAACTTTTGCTAACTGCACAGCCTTGCACAAGGACATAGCTCCTTTTTTAAGGAAAAGGTTGCAACTTGCCAAAACAGTATTTCTCTAATGTTTACCAAAACTAATTGGTATAGATTTCACTCTTTTTCCTATTAATCGCATAGACTATGATTAAGCACCCAAATTATATAAGACGAAGTAATGTGACGTACCCAGCNACTGCACAGCCTTGCACAAGGACATAGCTCCTTTTTTAAGGAAAAGGTTGCAACTTGGCAAAACAGTATTTCTCTAATGTTTACCAAAAGTAATTGGTATAGATTTCACTCTTTTTCCTATTAATCGCATAGGCTATGATTAAGCACCCAAATTATATAAGACGAAGTAATGTGACGTACCCAGTAACAAAAATGCAGCATAGGACTTAGATTAGACTAAAGTTGCAGTTTACAGCGTTAAATATAAGGTATAAAATTTTATGAAAAAAAAGGTGTCTGAGATACCAGAAGCTTGTCAGGGGTCAGCGAGAGGAAGTTGTGCTAAGCTCTAATATAATTATAACATTTCAAAAACAGAACAATTGTAGTTCTATACAGCAGTGGGAACAAGTAAGGATCCACAAAACAAAGAGAAAATGAATACAATTACAGTGAATATTACATTTTTAGTTCTATTTGTGGTGAAAGTAGAAATGGTAGTGTAGAATAAATCAATATAATTTAGGAGGAATCTACAAAAGGATTTAAGAACATAGAAATAAGGAACGAAAAGCAATAAAAGGACTTGATACGACATAAATCATACAAGTTCTTTCTTTTTCTCCAATCCGAACTATTTTCAGGCAGATTTCTGGCAAAAATTCAGGGAACACCATATTTTTACAGTTTCTCTCTCTACTTTTTTGTTTCCTGGCATGCTTATAAGGCTAATCACCACCAAAAACATGCAATATTTCACCAAACTTTGACAATTGTAACAATCAATAAGAACTAAGAGATGAACCCTCCGGAGATGCAGGTTGATGTTGATAATAGCCACATTTATTATAACATTTACCTCTCCAGCATTAACCGTGATGATATGCGGCGTAAAGTTAGCACCAACAGAGCATGAAACCCATTCGCCTGCATGAAAACATTGAATATTAGTGCCATATATACAATTTACATTTTGTATGCAAAAAAACATATAGTTAAGTTTTAATATAATGTTGAGGAATTTTAGGAATACATACATATACATACACACACACGTGCGCACTTTAGACCACCAAAAATCAAATCGTAAGAAAAAGAACTTTACTTGCATGCAGTATTCAGAGTAATGAACTAGGAAATTCCATTTTTGTAGACAAATAACAACCTGCTTCTTGATAATGTTCACCTTTAAACAAAAGATTCATCGAACCAAAAACAGTCTGAAACCAAACCACAAAGTCATAATCTCTCACCCGAGACTAGAAATATAAAGCATACCATACTAACATATAGTTGCCTAATTTATAGGACACAAAATCGCATAGCAATGAACCCTCACTAACTTTAATCACATTACAAGAAACTAACAACTACATCAAATCGGGCTACATACACGACAAAATCGTAAATAAGAAATTACTTTTATTCCACTTTAGCACCGGATGTAAGAGACCAGGACAGATCTGAAACGTAGATCTCCTTGCCATTAATCCAGTCTTTTNTTTTTGTAGACAAATAACAACCTGCTTCTTGATAATGTTCACCTTTAAACAAAAGATTCATCGAACCAAAAACAGTCTGAAACCAAACCACAAAGTCATAATCTCTCACCCGAGACTAGAAATATAAAGCATACCATACTAACATATAGTTGCCTAATTTATAGGACACAAAATTGCATAGCAATGAACCCTCACTAACTTTAATCACATTACAAGAAACTAACAACTACATCAAATCGGGCTACATACACGACAAACTCGTAAATAAGAAATTGCTTTTATTCCACTTTAGCACCGGATGTAAGAGACCAGGACAGATCTGAAACGTAGATCTCCTTGCCATTAATCCAGTCTTTGAGTAAGACTAAATCAGGTTAAACAAGATGGCAATTTTCGCAGTTTACACTCTTTTCCTTCATCTTCATATATCTCCCCAAAAAGGTAAAAAAATCCCTAATGACAGCCATAAGCTAAAAGATTCCATCATTCCCACACCAACCCACAAATCCCACCTGACTTTCTGAACTACCCATTTTCTGATTTACATCAAGATCTTAGTTGGGGTATCAATTCACAGGTCCCACATCTACCCCCAAACCATATGCTATAAACATAGATGATAGAACACTCATCAATTCTACTACAAAGATCAAAGGAAACCAAATGCACAAGTCTTAGAAAACAAGCATCAACTTTCGTGCATGTAAAAATCTAACCATTATAGCAGAAGAGAAGACAAAGCATTTAAAAGAAAACCAAAAAAAAAATAATAATAAATTTATTTTTGGTTTCTAATTACCTAAACTCTCCACCTCCATCTTGGCAGCTTGCTTGCTAGCGGACCCTACCGGCCGGGCTTTGCCTCGCTTCTCCGCCGAGAAGTCAATCACCGGAGGTGGAGCCGAAGACGATATTGGCTTCGGAGAAATCGCCATATTAACCGACCCATCTGGTCCATACTTCCTCGGCCTACCTCTCTTCTTCTTCACCGGGCCTGCCACCAGGATGGCCGCCGTACCCGCCGGTGGAGAGACACCCAGTTGGGGTATCACAGCTTGTGTTGATCCAGTGACCTGACTAGGGTTTTCAGTCCTCGGAGCTACATGGTAGTCCGACGGAGCATCTGATCCCACTACTGTTACTCCACCACTACTTTCCATATCAAAACACCCCCAAGAAAATTTCTACAAACTTTTCATGAAAAAAAACATGATTTTCCTCACCCCCAAACACCCAAAAACTTAACAGATTCTCAGGAAAAAATAACTCAATAAATCGAGAAATTTATTTTGCAACTGGCATCAAAGCACAAAACCTAAAACCCAGAAAAAGAAAATCAAAAAACAGCTTCAAGTTTAATGCTTGAGAAGCTTTTTTAAAAAATTTCTAACACAGCTGAAAAAAAAAAAGAGCAACAAAAGTAAAGAAACATCAAGCAAAAAGCACACTGATACTGTTCATTTGAAATTTGAAGAGAGTTTCAAAAAACAATTTACTTATTTCTTTGGGGAAAAAGAGTGGGGTTTGGGAACAAAAAGACAGCAATTTTACTTTGATTCTGTGGTGAGAAATTGGGCAAATTTCAGGTTTTAGGAGTTAAAGCTAATCTAACTTTCCTCAGGGTGTCCGAATTATAATTAAAAATATAGGAAGAAAAAATATTAAATATTAACCCCTTTAATTGTTAATTATGAAAAGCAGATATATTATGAATTTTGGTTAAGAAAATGGTTGGAGTCCGGTAGAAAAGAAGATAAACAAATAAATAATTATGGTTGGGAAAAGTGAAAATTAGGTTGCCAAGCCTTGAAGGCACCCTTCCCTCTTTCTTAAACAAAAAAATAAGTGAGAATATGTATATACATGCATACTGTATTGTATATATATATATATATAAGTGCTTGCTGTACCAAATACAGACAAAAAGAAATATGAAACAGGGAGAAGTTAAAATTAGAAAAAGAAAAAGTAGGTAGCTTTGCTTTCTGCAATTTCCAATGGCCTCTCTCTCTCTCTCTCTCTCTCTCTTCATTCAAAACTTGAAATTTTTTCACTCACCTACTAAATTAGAAAACACTACTTTTGGTCCAGTGACCAAGTTCAAGANCTCTCTCTCTCTCTCTCTCTCTCTCTCTTCATTCAAAACTTGAAATTTTTTCACTCACCTACTAAATTAGAAAACACTACTTTTGGCCCAGTGACCAAGTTCAGNTAATTAAAAAAAAAAAAAAAAAAAAAGAGGGGGCAATAACCCATGTCTTTAAACACGATGTAATATAAAATTCGAGCGTCAAAAAAATTGATTTCACTTATATCAAATATCAATTTCTTCCCTTCCTTTTTTGTTTTTAATTTCTATCCATTATTTTATAAAACAAAAATCGAAAAANGGAGTTCTTAGGGAACAAGAAGATTGGCAATGTAGGCCACACCAAGAGAGTTAAGTTATGGCATTTTTGTTTTTTTTTCAAGCTATCTAATTATGAAATAGAAGTGTTATTCTACTCATGGATAGTAAATATGAGGGTTGTGACGAGTGTAAATCCTCTGCTATATCAAAGCCCTACAAGTACATTCTGCTTGGAAGAAGGCATTTTCACTTTCAATTAGGATAAGCTGATCAACTAACATTAATTTTCTAGATTAATTACACCCATATTCCTTGAAATATGGGTTGATTACATGGCCACCACTAGTTTTTTTTCAAAATAAAAGGGGGAACCTCAACCAAATAATGTAAATTATTCGCACTTAACAACCCCTCTCTCCCCCCCCCCCACCAAAAATAATAATAATAATAATAATACCTCCCAGACCCCTTTTATTTCTCCATATCTTTCTTGGACACATGCAAATGCACACATCTACATTTTACTTATTTGACATAACATGGATGGAAAAAAAGGTACAATTAGAACAAAGAAAAAAAATAAGAATAATGTAAGTGATAAAAACCTCGTACCCTTGATTAAGAGTAGTATGGAACCTGAAAATATGGTTTGCTGAAATACACAAATGCATAGCACTTTCTACTAGCAAAACAACCAAACTGTTAGAAACTAGAGACAGATTGATCAAAGACGCGNGTACAATTAGAACAAAGAAAAAAAATAAGAATAATGTAAGTGATAAAAACCTCGTACACTTGATTAAGAGTAGTATGGAACCTGAAAATATGGTTTGCTGAAATACACAAACACATAGCACTTTCTACTAGCAAAACAACCAAACTGTTAGAAACTTGGGACAGATTGATCAAAGACGCATCGATATTTAAATCAATAAGAATTCTTGAGAATATGCAAAAGAATTACAAAAAAAGTATATACCTTTGACTTAAGTTTCTCCCAATATTTGTAGCAGTCTATACCCTCTTCTAGGGTTCTGCCATTGGCGGTGTAACGTGGTACACCTTCACTTTAGTTGGATACTTCGCCATTTATGTTAAAAGCCACCTTAGGCTTTCTATTTAATTTGTTTATTCTTTAATTCACGTTTATTCTGTATACTTATAACTTAAACAACTTTTTTATAGATATTACCTCGAATTTTTTGGGATATTCTATNTAGGGTTCTGCCATTGGCGGTGTAACGTGGTACACCTTCACTTTAGTTGGATACTTCACCATTTATGTTAAAAGCCACCTTAGGCTTTCTATTTAATTTGTCTATTCTTTAATTCACGTTTATTCTGTATACCTATAACTTAAACTACTTTTTTATAGATATTACCTCGAATTTTCTGGGATATCCTACCTATTTTTGGTTCAATTTCATCTTTGGCGGAGTCAACCTAATAGTTTCCATTCTCCTTATTTGGCTTGATCCATTGCTGAGCATCTTTGCTTATCGAACAACTTCACATTATACTTGACTCGATTCAAGTTTATTAGGTAGATTAGCCTACGGCTCGATCACTTTGTTCCAAAAAAANGTCAACCTAATAGTTTCCATTCTCCTTATTTGGCTTGATCCATTGCTGAGCATCTTTACTTATCGAACAACTTCACATTATACTCGACTCGATTCAAGTTTATTAGGTAGATTAGCCTACGGCTCGATCACTTTGTTCCAAAAAAAATATATATGAATATAGCATCTATCTATTCCCCAAAATAATAGTAATCATACCTCAAAATTTGAAGATAAAATTATATTAAGCCTCCACACCGTCCAAGGGACCACTACCATTGACTAAGGGAATGCAACCAAATGCAAAGGGCAACTTTAATAATCATAACATCATATGCTCTCCATGAATTCAATTTCAATAAGTTAACAAGAAAAACAAAAAAACATAAAGTAAACTCAACTAAGCCTAGATAATAACAACCTTTTTTTAAAAAAATAATTGATTCCTTTATTTTTTTATGTCTATTTCTTTATTGGGTTTGTGTAATCAAACCTGGCTTATATTTGTAGCAATCTGCTAGTGGAAGGTTTTTAAATCGTTTTAAAAACCTTTCGGTGCTTCGATATTAAAAAAAAAAAAAAAAAAAAAAAAAAANGTTAACTTGGTAAAAACGTCCCTTTGCCAACTGAAACCAAGGCTTGACCTTTCATCTATTTATTATATGAAAACTTTATTAATTTAATGGGAGAAGGCGTGACAAGTNGAGGAGGAGACAAAAAAGGTGATGCTCAAATTCAACATGTTAACTTGGTAAAAACGTCCCTTTGCCAACTGAAACCAAGGCTTGACCTTTCATCAATTTATTATATGAAAACTTTATTAATTTAATGGGAGAAGACGTGACAAGTTTTTTCTAATCAGATTATTCGTCATTTTAATATGACTATCTTCCAAACTTTATACTCTTTCAATTTCTCGCTCCTTTTTTTTTTTCTTCTTTTAATTTTTGATCTTGTATTCATTTTTTTTTCTCCAACAGTATTCAACTGCATTAAACTGAGTTGATGGCAAAGACTGTAGTCGATAGAGATGTTCAGATGGAAGAAAATGTAAATTTCGTGCATTGAACGGGATCGACAATATCACTACCACCGCTGCCACTATCACTATCGCCGCCACCGTCACCACCACAATTGCTACCACCACCGTTGCCGCCGTTGTCGCAGTCGCCACCACCCTCATCGCCACCCTCCCCCCACTGCCACAACCATCACCACCACTGTCGTTGTCATCGCCACCACTATCACCACCGCCATTACCATCGTCATCGCCGCCACCACGATCATTACTACCCACCACAACTATCACCGTCTTCTACCACTATCACCATTGTTGCCCACCACCTCTTACCCCCACTAGTAACTGATGTTTAAATTTTTTTTTCTCTTTTTTATGTTTGTAATTTGATTTTGAATATAAATACAAATATGATTATTATTTATTATTTTTTATTACTCTGAGCCTTTAGGTACAAACAAAAACTAATATATATATATAGGGATCAAGTTCAAGAGGAGGATGCAGACCTACACTTTTTTCTTTGCTTTTGGAGTTGGAAGTGGGGGTGTTATTCATTTCTTTCGATTCCTCTGGTAAAACTAAAGGCTTGGAAGTAGGGCCTGTCAGTGTCACTAGATTGGGTTTGGATCGAATTTTGGTTGATTTGAATTTGAATTTAGTTTCAAAAGTTTAATCCAAATTCGATGAATTTTATTTTTGTGATTCATATTTGAATCTGTTAACAATCTGAAATTCGATCAGATAATTCGTCTGATCCGATAATTCAATCCGGTTTGAATATTTTAATTAAAAAAATTATAATAAATTTTATACTTAAATTTTAATTAATTTTCTTTAAATGATTAATTAGTGTATATAAATATATAAATAATTCGAATCGGATATAAGTATATACAAATTCAAATATATGAAATATAAAAATATCATATTCGAATTTAAATTATTAATAAAAAAATATTAATTATTACCCAACTAATCGAATTCAGATTTAGAATCTGACGCATTAAATGACCTGGAAATTGTAAGCCCATTAGAGAAGCCAGTTTTGTGGTTCCCTAATCCTACTGGGTCAAGTGTTACAAGGCCATGTGAAATGTAACAAAGGGTCAAGTGTGTCAATTCATTGTCTATGCTGCGTCTCAACTTCCCGGTCAAACGGTAATGCCGAGAGACTTTTGTGTTGGCACAGAGTATACTCCAAGTTCCAACTCATGCTCAAGCTTCTTTCTCCTTAGTCCTTTCATTGATACTCCCAGCATCCCACAAATCGGGGTCGCATGACTGAAAATGAAATAAGTTTGTAATTCACATCATAATCCCAATCGCAAATCAGAATTTTAGCTATTTTTTGGTATTTTGGTGTTCTTGAAACTCATGTTTTTGACAATATTTATTAGAAATATACAATAAGTACTTATTAATTACGTGTATACAGATATATTATTCTATAAAAATTACAAAACGAATCAACGACTCCCAAAATAACGATCCAACTAAATATATCTCTATTGTACCACGTATTAAAAGAAATAGGATACCAACGTATCAAATCGATCCACAATCAAGATAACAGTAAGCAAAAGTCTCACCTTTAGGGTTTCATATGGTCTGCATCCTTCCCCCAACTTCCTTGGCCTGTATCTGAAAGGACCCAGCATTGTTGGTGTTGGCTATGAGTA